CCTTATGCAATATACGATATATTTTCTCTGTTATATTTCAAGTCATTAGCAGTTGCTTGATATCCCCGGTGTGGCTGCGCTTGATGTGCATGTTGACAAGGCGCCCACCTCTCTATTACCCACTACCTCGTCTATACTCGCTCCAGGAGACAGTTGGTCGTTGCTGGAGGGGACGAGGTGCACGGTCCTAGTGGCCGTGCTAGGCTCGAAGAGTGGTTCCAGGCACTCAGTGTGGAGCGGACTACGGTCCAGCCCCCGTCTTGTGAGTACTTGATTCCCCAAATACAGCGCGCTTGTGTTTGTCTGTGAAGGATTGTGCGCCAGCTCCGTTGATGAAACGTGGCTCCCATCCGCATGCCTCCTGGTCTTATTCCTTCGGGTTTACACTGGATATGGGGTGTGTGGATGGAGCTGTGGGTGGTGCAGCGCAAGCCATCCATGGTCTCTCTGTAGGCGCAGGCGTCCTGTGGCTGGCCACAGTGACAGGCAAATCCGAAACCGGATGCCGTCAACCATGTATGTATATATATGTATTGGAGGGGACGGGGTGCACGGTCCTTGTGGCCGTGCTGGGCTCGAAGAGTGGTTCCATGCAGTCAGTGTGGAGCGGACTACGGTCCAGCCACCGCCTTGTGTGCGCTTGATTCCCAAATACAGTGTGCTTGTGTTTGCCTGTGAAGGAGTGTGGGCCGGCTCCGTTGATGAAACGTGGCTCCCATCCACATGCCTCCTGGCCTTATTCCTTCGGGTTTACACTGGATATGGGGTATGTGGTTGGAGCTGTGGGTGGAGCAGCGCAAGCCACCCATGGTCCCTCCGTAAACGCAGGCGTCCTGTGGCTGGCCACAGTGACAGGCAAATCCGAAACCGGATGCCGCCAACCATATGTGCCCCATGCTGAGGCTGATGTTGCATTCTTGATGCTTCTTCACTGCAGTTGGGCTAAACCAACTTACACTTAAACTAGGCCTTTTTAAGCTGGCTAAATTTCATTCCACTTTATTTGGTTTGTTCTGCCTACCTGAATACTATTCTATTAACTGGCCACGCTGCTTACATTATTTGGGCTTATGTTCGGTAACTTTGTTGCGTTTGTAGCATTTTTAACTAACTTGCGGACATTTTTTCCTTATCGCGGATTCGTTGCTAACCAGCTTACTTCATATGCTAATTTAGCGAAGAGTTATGTCACCGTATCTGTATGCATTATTGGATTTGTTTTATTTCATCTTGTCGTTCCAGGTGATTGGCTGTTGCTTGATATCCCCGGTGTGGCTGCGCTTGATGTGCATGTTGACAAGGTGCCTACCTGTCTATTACCCACTACCTCGTCCATACCGGCTCTAGGAGACAGTTGGTCGTTGCTGGACGGGACGGGGTGCACGGTCCTAGTGGCCGTGCTAGGCTCGAAGAGTGGTTCCATGCAGTCAGTGTGGAGCGGACTACGGTCCAGCCACCGCCTTGTGTGCGCTTGATTTCCCAAATACAGCGTGCTTGTGTTTGCCTGTGAAGGAGTGTGAGCCGGCTCCGTTGATGAAACGTGGCTCCCATCCACATGCCTCCTGGCCTTATTCCTTCGGGTTTACACTGGATATGGGGTGTGTGGATGGAGCTGTGGGTGGTGCAGCGCAAGTCACCCATGGTCCCTGTGTAGGCGCAGGCGTCCTGTGGCTGGCCACAGTGACAGGCAAATCCGAAACCGGATGCCGCCAACCATATGTGCCCCATGCTGAGGCTGATGTTGCATTCTTGATGCTTCTTCACTGCAGTTGGGCTAAACCAACTTACACTTAAACTAGGTCTCTTTAAGCCGTACAAATTTCATTCTAGTATATTTGGTTAGTTTTGGCTATCTGAATACTCTTCTATTAGCTGGTCACGTTGCTTACGCTAATTGCGCTTACCTTCGGTAATTTTGTTGCGTTCGTAGCATTTTTGAGTAACTTGTGGACATTTTTCCTTATCGCAGATTCACTGCTAACCAACTTACTTCATATGCTAATTTAGCGAAGAGTTATGCCACCGTATCTGTATGCATTATTGGATTTATGTTATTTCATTTTGTCGTTTAAAGTGATTGGCTGTTGCGTGCTACCTCCGGTGTGGCTGCGCTTGATGTGCATGTTGACAAGGTGCCCACCTCTCTATTACCCACTACCTCGTCTATACTCGCTCCAGGAGACAGTTGGTCGTTGCTGGAGGGGACAGGGTGCACAGTCCTTGTGGCCGTGCTGGGCTCGGAGAGTGGTTCCATGCAGTCAGTGTGGAGCGGACTACGGTCCAGCCACCGCCTTGTGTGCGATTGATTCCCAAATACAGTGTGCTTGTGTTTGCCTGTGAAGGAGTGTGGGCCGGCTCCGTTGATGAAACGTGGCTCCCATCCACATGCCTCCTGGTCTTATTCCTTCGGGTTTACACTGGATATGGGGTGTGTGGATGGAGCTGTGGGTGGTGCAGCGCAAGCCACCCATGGTCCCTCTGTAGGCGCAGGCGTCCTGTGGCTGGCCACAGTGACAGGCAAATCCGAAACCGGATGCCGCCAACCATATATAGTGCGCAAGCAAGTGTCACCTGTTGGCTAATGTGCAATAAAGTGCGCACATTGGAGTATGCCAGCCTTAGCGAGGAATGGGGGCTCCAAAGAGAAACGGATGAACAGACGTTGTCTGCTTGGTTGAACATGGATTTGTCCACTGGACCGGAGCGACGCCCTGCGATTGCGTGTGATTCTAAACCATAAGATAAATAACCATTGAAGCAAGATGATGGAGGGGCAATAATTTGGGGTTGAAAACAGGTGAGATAAAATTGCAGTTGGAGCGGGACGATGGGAATGAAAATGCGCAACAGTAGGGAATAAGAAGACGGGAAGGCTTGAGCAGTTACATCCTCGTCCATATCCACCCTGCTCAATGCAACAGATAGGGCGCCGTTTATTATCCTCTGCGACTACAGGGCATTAAGAAATCATTAGAAGAGAAAATCATTGTATTAGGTACGGTCAGGTTGCCCAGGCTTAGATAGGAGAACGAGTAGGGTTCTCAAACAAAGCCTTCGATTAAAAACCTGATCGCAACGCAGTGGCGCTTTGGCACTGGGCTACAGAGAGTCTGTTTTATAGAGTAGGAAGAAGCTTATCGCCAACATCGAATCACACCAGAAATCACAAAGCTACTGTTTGAAGAACATGTAATAATCGACTTTTGGAATTGAATAACTCGAAATGGGTTTGAAAAATGGAAACGGCACGTGATACATGCTACAGCACGCCATTACGCATCCGAACAAACCAGGCAAAGTCACTGTCGTTTTCCATTGTGCTAGCACCTTTAAATCCACAGTTACTGAACGGATCCGAAGTAAGAAAAAGCTCAGTTGGTGTGTTATTGAGATTTAGTGTTGCTGCTGATATCGAGGCAATGTTTCATAAGGTACGAGTGACCGTAAAGACAGGGATTGTCTTCGATTCCTATGGTGGACTTACAGACAGCTAAACGAATCGCCGAAAGTATTTCGCGTGACAGTCCATCATTTTGGCGCAAATTCGTTTTCAAGTTATGCTTTGTTTGTACTCAGAAAATTCTTTGTTGCATGCTGAGATAAATGCTTTAAATCAATATTGTCGATGAGTAAACGAAGGTGTACGCTGACTATTCAACTGTAACAGTAGAGAAACGACCCTACTTTTTATTGCACAAATGTCAAAAATTATCATGCAGGGTGGATTCCGCTTAACTAAATGGAAGTGGTCGTGCGTGAAACCCAGAAATATGCATCTCACCGTGACAAAGCAAAGTTGAACTAAAACCCGGATGATGCGTATCCTACCTTGAGGCTGAAGCGGATCTTGCCTGTTGATTAGATAACATTCAGCTTTCCAAGGACTGAAGGAAGTTGCACGAGAAGATCAATTTGCTCCTTCATTGCTTCAATTTATGCTACGAGATAGACAGCTCCCCCAGTCCCCCGTTCGGAAAGCAATGAAATGGGATATGCAGGTTGAGGAACCAGAATGAATGAGTAGAATGAGTACGCTTTCCGACTGATGTTCGTTTAGTAGAACGGTTGAAAATCAGGAGATGCATTAAACCAGAATCGTTCGTTAATGGTGAAACAGGGTCTAAATAGTTTCTCGGACGCCTCAAAAACTGCGTATGGGACCGTAGTGTACACACAAGAAACGTGGACAAAGATAACTGATTTCATACTTTTCTGTTGATATGAGTCTCGTGCAGCACCGATAAGAGAAATTACGATACCACGCCTAGAGTCAACAGCTGCCATCCTCGTCGTCAGTTTGCCTACTCAAGTTATTCAAGAGCTGCGAACCGGAAGAGCACCGGTGTTCTCAAGACTTCATAATAGTACTGGAGCTTATACACTGCAAGACTAGAAGCTTCACGAGATTCGCCAGTTTTCCGACCCGACAACGTGGAGATAGGCCGAAAAATCGGAAAATCCGCTGATTTCTACATTATCTGTACCTGTTTTGGTTATCGCTTCTTCAATACCCCCGCATCACAACGCGTTGATCAATAATTTTGACGGGAGTTGAGAGCTGACAGAGAACATTTACTTCAATCGAATTCGTTCAAAGAGGATGATCTAACAATGGTCAAGATACCAATCTGAAGGTCTCTACATAATGAAATTTGCTGGCCTAATGTAATGAAGAAAGATTTGAAAGTGGTTGATGAAAACTGGCTACTGACTGAATCACCAGCGGTACGTCGAACTGGGCTGTGATAGACAAGAAAGCATACAGCAATCACCACGAGTAGGGTGATGGTGATCACTATAGATGTGTGTACCACAAGGAAAGTGTTCCAAATCAGTAACATGATGCAGTGGGTTAGAACATCGCTTGTAAGCTGCACGGCCCTAAGTGCCACAGCCCAAATATAAAAGTAAGGGGTTAGTGAAAAGTCCCATAGGGAGTATCTGGAGAAACGCAACCGTGGACAAAGAGAGTGGGCAGAGAAAATGATGCACACACGTACCATCTCATAAAACCGTACAATCCACGATCGAATGTGCTGCAAAGGAACGAAAAGCAACTTTGATAAGCGAGAAATACTTAGCATGAAAAAGACGACTTTGCGTGAAAAACAGCAACTTTTGGAAGTCGGCATGAGACGCGAGAAAGAGCCACTAGTTTGATTATGACATGAGGTAATTAACAAAAGCAAAGTTAAGCGGTAATCTATCCATTTGTAAGCAGCCAAGAAACAGGGTCGTGTGGCACGAAACGGTCAGATCCTAGGAGCTTAGAATTGGCGTGCAGCATCACCCACTGGCATGGTCGCAAAAGATATAGAGTATCAAATGACTGCGCTCCTAATCAGTTGGCTAAGTAGCGAACGGAATTCCTGTGGTCCCAGTGCTTATACACTTAATAAAAGTCATCATCTATTTATACTAAAACAGAGGAAACTCAACAACGATCGGTAAAGGCAGACAGCCGTTAGGCCGACGTCGCACAAACTATGGTATGTTGTGACGGAACTACGACGGCTCGAGGTAGAAACAATCGATAAGAGAAGCAATATTCAACCAAACTAGATGTAAGGCTTATGATAGCGATGCAGGCAACTCAGTGGCATAAAACAGCTTAAGGACAGAAACATACCGCCACATTTCGGAGAACAGAGCGATGTGAAGTACGCAGGATGGTGGGGCCACAACTAGACATAGTTCAGGGGGAGATTCATATCGACTATACTCCGGTAGACTTAGTCTATCATCTGAGGAAATCTGCTCTTTCGGAGAAAACGGATGTTTTTCAGTTGCGTTCGGCAGAACAGGAATACTCTTTTGTGACAGGTAATGTTCAATATCCGACAGGAGGCCAGGGAAACCGTACAAAAATAGATGGAACATGTAGTAGTGAAGGCCAACTGCCTGTACAGCGGTAATCATGGCAAAATTTGATAGCTGTATACCGCCCGCATTATTCCACGGATTGATGCGAGAGGAAGAACGCAAAAAGCTACTCCACGTAGCGTAACGGAACAACGCTACGGGGTAGACAAAGCAGAGAGAAAGTGACCAGAAGTAGAACCAAAAACTGAGGCGACCAGCTCGACCGAGTAGAGAAGACCAAGTCAATGACCTTAACCGACCGGTTTGTTTAGCACGTGAAATTCCTTGCGCCTAAAAAGTGAGAAATAAGTGAGTAATCGGTTTTTGAATGAAACACAAATAGTGCACGGAACGAGGCAAGCTACAGACATTTTAGTAATAGATAATAGCATCTAAAGAGGAATATAACAACAAGGGGCAATATGGATTGCAGGTACATCGATTCGAGAGAAACAAACAACTAGCGCATGCGGAATGAAAGTGCAGAAATAAACGCACGACAGATGATGCTGAGAGTTTCTAGTCACACGGATGCTCGCAACTGTTATGGATCAGCATTATCAGGTGGCGGAAAACCGGTTGAAGCTTGTTGAGACCTGTGGTTTCTGGCTCTAGATATACAACAGGAACTTTGATAAAAATGGTGTAGAACTGCTGGATGTCGCCGAGTCAGGCCGATCACATTTCAGTCGATGAGATAGCGACTGGGGCAATAAGCATTAATAGACGCCGCTATGGTCCCGAAGGAAAACAAAGCCGTGGTGTGGCTGTTACTAGCACAAGCATGAAGTCACTCAACCAGGGGTGAAGAAGTAATGTATAGACAACAGAGATGAATGGTGCGAATTTCACTAAAAGGCCATCAGAGAGAGGTTAGATAACGTAAGAGCAAACGAAATCGTATGGCCGAACGGATGCAAATGGTGAATAACAAAAGCAAACATGCCAATGGCATGCGAAACAGACGAAGCAGTATTGACAACAAAGACGAAGTAACAAGCCTACAAATACGGTAAACTCGAGTGATTCGTTTCTTAAGATCGCGCGAACCAGCATGCACCAAAGCTGTCGCTTCAGTGCTTAGAGTAGATCAGCGAAGCACGGGCAGAGCAATACGGCAACTTACAGATTAAAAGTTGGTGAGAAACTCATTGGCAATCCATTGACCAGCCGAATAAACCTTGTGTTAGCAACGATATGTTCAATACAATCCTACAGATTCTGTGACTTCAGTGAAACTAATTAGTCGAGGATGCGCCAGTAAGGAGAAGCCTCCATGAAAGCAATGACGCATAGAAGAATGAGTGGCAGCCCTGGGCACCGCCATCTAGATTATGTGACCCATGAGATCTTGCAGACGCAGAAACGAAGCTATGATATGAGAAAGCGCGAATGAGAGAGTGGGACTGTTATATTTGGTTTCATTGTTCCATGTTAGTTTGATTATGCGATATTACTGCTGAGAAGACCCAACAGCTGCTCATTCCCGATATAGAGATTATGTAAAATAGTTCGACTGAGAACAACATACTTTGGTATGAAATCTGTATCACTCCAGTGCACAGTACGGACGCCTCGCTGCCAAGCGAACAACACCTGTCGCGCGAGGTTGCCTGGACCTGCGCGGATTCGAACCAGCGACCTCAGGAGTACAAAGTAGGCGCGAAATTATTTCGGCTATCGGTCGACTGGAGAAGGGGATAGTAAGTCAAGCTACATCGGAGACGGAGTCGCCATATCAGTTTCGCTGTACATCCGGTTCAGAAAAAATACCGGGGGTGTGCAAGATGTTTGGACATATCAATGAGTCCGGTTCGCTGCATCCCATAATAGATCCTTCAATACGCCGCGTTTTTCCATTTGTACTCCGGTATTGTGTCTGGAGCAAGTTTGACTTAACTGGTTGTAATACACCTAGAGTCCCGAGCTTCAGCTCAAACCTAAAGCGTGTCCGCTAAAACACAGTGGCATAGACATCCTCATGAACATGTGTTACATGGCCAGTATTATGGATTCCTCAAAGTCGGGATGCTAATCGTGACCCTTAACCCTAAGCCACCGGGTCCCGATGGGCAACGCTTAGCACAACGGTTAATGATTGGTATTGAGGGTCATTTTGAAGTACACGTTGTCTGGATGGATTGCGACGCGCAATCTCAATGTTGACCGCGATTCCCGTTACCGTGAACCTTGGTCTTTCGATCACGAGGACCGTGGCTGATGCCGAAAGTAGTTACATCCGCGCTGCTGGTTTGAAGCGAAACCGAGTTCAGCACTGAAGTGGTGAATATTTCACTAACCTGCAGCACTCTTTACAGACCAATCCAGTGCAGGATTCCCATCCACTGACTTCCTGCAAAGGCCTTACGATTAGTCTCGGAACAGTTGCGTGGGTATAAGGCAGGACTTCAAAGTAACTGACTTTATGGGATCCATCATGTTGTTTGGACATCTATACGGTATATGGTGAAAGTGCTGTTGAACCGGGCAACGATTGAAGCCATGCCGCACGAATTAAGCATCTTAACGTGTTCAGCACATTACTGCATTTCCTGAGGGTCATGAGTGGTGAGCGATGAGCCGAAACCTATGCCAAGGACCGTCCATAGGCATATCTCTCTGACAGTTGGGTATTCTATCAGTGTGGTGCAACCGATACCATGCGGCCAAGGCGACGTTCACGTGTAAATAACCGACCACCATAAGTCCACAAATGAGGCGAGAATGTAGATACATAAAGCGTGGTTTTATCCCAAAAGCCAAAAATGTTTCCGAGAAGAAGGGCTAACATGATAGGATCACATCGACCTCTTAAGACAAGTAGGAAGATGGCAAAAAGCCACATGCAACTGAGTTACATCCCCTGGACGGTTGTTCATATGACAGTCGTAGTGTCTGCCCTGATGTGCACAGCGTGTGTAGGCAGCACTAGAAGTAGCATCCACCAGCGTCCCCATCAACTGAAACATGGGTTAAAACACCGCCTTCAAGGAGTCATGGAACTCCTTATTTTGGTGGCGTCCGGTGTAGCACTCCAACTGCTTTGTCTTATCTATCCATCATGCATTTATGATGCGATGGAGCTACAGAGTCAGACCTCTAAGCAATTTGAGCAACTTATTCTCCTCCGAGTCGTCATGTCTTCCTCATGTGCACCAAAAGCTGCATCCTTCTCTGATACCAAAAAGTCATTGTCGCACGGTTGTCACCAAATTAATAGGATCGCTTACAGTTTGCGCACCCAATCTTTTCATCAGCCGCAAAGACCACCCGTTCTTTGTTGTGGTGCCACAGGTCGCAGACTGAAGCGGTGGAGCTGACATCACCAGGGCGGATAGCCATTGTTTGATTACCTTCTTAACAGTACTTAAAGAACGGATAACAAATTTTCACTGAATCACAGCAGTTGAACAATACATCGAGTTAGGAAACTATTTGTACGACTTTATCCGCATATGCAGCTCCATGCAGTACAAGTGTCACGTGCACTTTACGCGTGACACGCTGGCGTACGATGATATAGTCGGCCGGCGGCCGAAAAGATTGCGCGCCTGCGTTGCAATCCGGTTCAATGCGTTTAGGTGCAGGCGTCCTAGCCGTATACCTGGCCCTTGCGCGACTGATGGTAGTCGCAGGACAGCGAAGCGTCGGAACAGTGCGCCGAGATAATACTGACACCTAAATCCCTCAGAAGTGAACCGACCACCGGTTGGTTCGGCGGTACTGTACGTCACCGGGCGTCTTCCTTGTGGAGGTGGTTGTGAACAAGTCTCGTCCATTCACAGACGAGATGAATAAGCAGCCACGGACAATCAGCGGCAGCGTCCCAGAGCGTGGAGGTTCTGAGCTGGTCACCTGGTTCAACATTAAATATGACAAGAGCTTGTGCGGCGCTGTGTCAAAGCCAACGTGCCCGACTATACAATCAATGACCACTCACTTAAGTAACCAGAAGCGAGTACACAAGAGAAGGCGCATGAACTATCTCGATGACCACCGGCTTCCACGTGAAATGAACACTGTGAAGGCCCATGAGTCAAACAAATATCAATAGCATGCGGACGAGTCAGAATTCGGTTGTACAGGAAACTGTTCCTGGTCTGCGTGCTGACAAGGAACCCTAGGTGGACAGTAGTGCTCAAGAAATAGAGGAGGCAAGAGCAGTCGACAATTACTGCAAGCTTTTCCAACCGATCCGCACCCCTGGTCCCAGAAAACCAGGCATCAGTAAGGCAATCGGAGACAAAGTGGGTGTCTTGATTCGTAATAAGGAGCACCGTATGGCTCGTTGGGGGGGGGGAGCATTTTTGAGAGCTGTTCAGTTGGTCTTTCGATTCCGGACCCCTTCCTACACATGTGGTGCAGGCTGAGCCATGACCGGTTAGTTCAGAAAGTCTATCAGAGGCTGAGATCTGAAACTGGATCACAGCCTTTAATCGTTTTCGAGCTGCTGGCCCGGATTCCTTTGCACTTGCACCATTTAAGTATGGTGGAGAGGTCCATGGAAAAGCACTAGCCCAAGTGCAACATGTCTGGAAGGAAGAGACCATCACAACTTATTGGACTGAATTGATTATAGAAGCAATCTACAAGAAGGACAGTCGCACTGACTGCGCTAACCACAGGGGTACTAGCCTAACGCAAGTCGTGATAAAATTGCTGGCCTCGATTCTCGTACGTCTCCTGACTGCGGAACGGGAATTCCGGATTTGAAAAGCGCAAGCAGGTCTCGCCCAGAAAGGAGAAATACAGGCAAGTGTAAGTGCAGTGTAAGTACAGGGTCACATGTATGGCAGACCAACAATAGCTGTGTTCCTCGACTTCGGGAGTGCATTCGACTAAATCGACTAATCCATTGTGCTAGAAATACTTGTGCGGAAAGGTGTTCTCATGAAATATGTGAACATTTTACGTACACTGTATTCAGACACCACAAGCCGCGTCTCGGTGTACGGTGACTAGCCATACGTTTTTCTGACAACAAACGATGTTGTTCAGGGTTGTCCAATTTACCCATGTTTGTTTAATTTCGTCGTGGACTTCATTCGCAGTGTTACATTGCGGAATCACTTGAGGCGTTTGGGGGCTGTTTGGTGGAAAGCTAAATCATTTCAATTAAGCGGACGATGTCGACGTGGTTCAACTAACAATGAATAACCTCTCTAGAGTGGTCCCATCATGCGCTTTCCAGCTTCAAAGTGCAGTGTTGTTGCAAGACCACTAGCCACTTGGCGACCCATTGACCCTTGATACCGAGGAACACGAGATAGTTGGTCAATTCGCTTATCATA